TTTCCGGTACGGATCGGGTAGCGACACCGCTTTTCCCCTTCTCATTCTCTGTTGCCGCCATGCTTTTTCGGCCATGTGCGTATGAAAACAAAGGCACTGCGCATGCGCGTTTCACCCATATTATATCGCCATATTTCATTTTCTTATCGTTGCCTAACATTGTACTGGTATTACCGTGAACAGTATGATATGGCCCAGCCCTATTCTGAATACATGATTGTTCAGTATAAACTGGGGGTTGGCGACAAATATGTCACCATATTTTTAAGGAAATTTGTGGTAATAATATTTATGACGCTGTAGAAAAAACAATATTTTATCTGTGATTAGCAGGCAGCAGCTAATCACAAACAGTGTAGATCACACATAAAGTACCCTGAGTAAAAACAGTGAAAGTATAGCAGAGCTGCTTGAAACTTGAATTGTGGCTCCTTTGAGTTGTTTGACACTTGAAGAAAAATGACTAAAGTAACCTTGTAACTCCTAAGCCTGAGGAGTGGTCGTGACAACGTTATCATGTGACAGCAGTGTGCAGACACCTTAGGACGTAAGGAGTCTGCACACTGTTGTCACATGGTGAATGTTGTAACTTGGGTCTAAGCCCTCCTTTACCACCATGTAAAGGCAATTTCCAGCAATTTCCTGTCTTCCTGACCCATGAACACCACTACCAAGTGTTCCAGCAATGCTCAGTGTTTACTTTTGAGTGGCACATCACCAGCTGCTAGCATCTTCTCCTCATATGCTCATACAGTGGATTAATACTTCTGTGCTAAATCCATAGAGCAGTGTTTCCAAACCTTCTGGAGCATTATGGACCATACTTCACATTAGAAAAAACACATTTATTTATTTAGGACAGTGCATGTTAATGAACATAAATGTAAAAAAAAAAAAAAAAATTACATGAATGTAAACATGCCAGATTATAGCCAAAGGCTAATTTCCATCTGTTGTCCTTAAACATAAAAAATAGACATAATAATTCATAAAAATTCATCATTCATTCATAATAAAAACTCCATCACCAAACTTACACATACACACCATTCTGTTCCCAAATAAAACATTAAAACTGTACAATTCATACATGATCACACACTTGATTTGTCCATAACCAGTTTTTAACCTTTGCCTTAAACAAATTGAGTGTAGAGCGTTCTCTAATGGGTTGAGGAAGACTGTTCCACAGATGGCCACCCTTAACAGAGAGGACATTCTGCCCAAATGCTGTCCGTCTGTGGGGTATAAACAAGTCTCCTCGGAGTGTAGCTCGAGTGGTCCTGTCTGAGCTTTCTTTATGCCTAATGAACTGCTTTAGTGGTGGTGGAGCAAGGGAGTGTAAGACTTTATATATTAAACACACCATGGCACACCACCAAACAAAAATGTCACAAAAGCATATTGATAATTTTTCCCTGCGCACCAGGCGTAGTAGAATTGGCTCGGTTTGTCCCCAGTATACCTGTTTTGCTTTCTTTTGACCACTACTCATGCTCGGGTCTTCATCAGGGCGGAGTTTTCTCCATGACCAGGTCAGACTGACTACTTTTTATTTTCAAACATTTATCTGTTGCTATTATGCGCTGCGTCGTCTCACAGCATGACTGTTATGTCATTTCTTCTTCATCTTCTTCTGTTTTATTGGCAGTTGGCAACACATTGAATTAGAGCAGGTAATTGTACTGCCCCCTAGTGGAAGAGAATGTAATTGTTCTGCACGTTACTCACGCCGATCGCTTAGAGTACTAATCAGATGGAACCAGATGATCTTCCACGGCACACCTGATCATTTCTGGCACAGTGGTTGGGAAACACTGTCATAGAGAACATAAGCAGTGCCTCAAACGTGCATCCCACCAATTTGCCTACAGGACAAATCGTTCCACCGAGGACGCCATCACCATAGCGCTCCACACTGTGCTGAGTCACCTGGAGCACAGAGGAAGCTATGTGAGAATGCTCTTTCTGGACTTCAGCTCAGCATTCAATCATATCATCCCGGAGATCCTGGTCCAGAAACTGTCTCACCTGGGACTCTCCACCCCCATCTGCCTCTGGATCAAGGACTTCCTGACAAATAGACCACAGTCTGTCAGACTCGGCCCCCACCGGTCCAGCACCATCACACTCAGCACCGGGTCTCCACAAGGATGTGTTTTGAGTCCCCTCCTGTTTACGCTCTACACATCCGACTGCTCCCCTACCCATCTCTCAAACACCATCATAAAGTTCGCAGATGACACCACAGTGGTTGGACTCATCTCAAGGGGGGATGAGTCGGACTACAGAGATGAGGTCAACAGACTGACTGAGTGGTGTTCAGTTAACAACCTCCAACTGAACACCACGAAAACTAAAGAACTTATCTTGGACTTCAGGAAGGGCAGAGCAGACCCGGCCCCACTTTACATTCACGGGAGCTGTGTGGAGAGGGTACACTCCATGAGGTATCTGGGCGTGCAGATATCTGATGACCTCTCCTGGACTGCAAATACTACAGCGGTGGTTAAAAAGGCCCAGCAGCGTCTCCACTTTCTGAGAGTGCTCAGGAGGAACAACCTGGAGGAGAGGCTGCTGGTGACATTTTACAGAGCCACCATAGAGAGCATCCTAACGTACGGCATAACAACATGGTATGCAGGGTGCTCAGCTGCGGACAGGAAAGTACTGCAGAGGGTCATCAACACAGCCCAGAAGATCACTGGCTGCTCTCTGCCCAGCCTGGAGGTCACTGCAAACTCTCGGTACCTCAGCAGAGCTGGCAATATCATCAAGGACTACTCTCACCCCAGCAACCAACTGTTTGAACTATTACTGTCAGGCCGACGGTACAGGTCACATAAAACCAGGACAAACAGATTCAGGGATAGCTTCTTTCCCAGAGCTATCACCGTAGTAAATAAGCACAAAAACAATTGAACCTATTCCATACCGTCACTGTCATTATATTATGCTGCTATTCATACTGTCATTATATTAATGCTGCTATCCTGTATATATTGTACATACTATTGTTTGAGTACTTACGATTGTTTTTTTTGTACTTTTTATATTTTACATTTATATTTATAATTGAAACTTGCACCAAGGGAGTGGCACTCCAATTTCGTTGTACTCTGTACAATGACAATAAAGGCTATTCTATTCTATCTGGAGCCCACCAGATGACGATAGTTGCGGTTGCTAAAAGATTACTGGCCCTATACAAGTCTATGAGAAAACAGTTTTCTGATTTGACCTCTGCGATCGCTTTCTTCATGAGTTCATGGACCCGTTCACTCGTTTTGGGTTATACTGAATAAAAAATAAAGCTTTTTTGTAAATCTTGTTCATAGAATGTCTCAAGATGGAAAGCTGGTGGGAATCTTCAAAACGAGCTAAAAAGCAGCAACATTCGTCTTCCATATCTTCTATACTTAAATCTACAGCTTAGATACGTCATAACCCACAAAACTGGTCTTTCTGGCCAGTCTTGTGGAACCTGACAAACCTACGCTGCTTATTTTGCTTTCTTTACTTTGTTTTCTTCTCAGACGCTGTCCCCCTGTTAAACAGTGAGGGTTGAGCTGTTTTTACAAATGGACTCCATGAAACGTGGAGAATCAGGTCGAATTATCCGGCGTTGACCTGACTCAGCACACTAGTGGAAAGACTTTCAGACAAGTGTGCTGTATGACCTCACCAGACAATTACCTGCTCTTGTTCCTACAGTGATGCAACTGGACACCTCAGGGACTTTTTCCAAGGGAGCTGGCAGATTAAACACCCTTTAATGTCCAGTTAGACCGTGTCCTTCCTTCTCACGTTCAGTCCCATTGGGCAATGGTTAGTAAAGTTCATGTCTGCAGTGTGTGAAAATGGACTGTGACAGTGGCAGTCTCTTGGGGAAACTTGAGCTGTGCATGCACTCGACTATTAAACTTTCAGTTAATAGTTGAGTGCATGCACAGTCGACGGTTTTATGGGCTCTGAGGAAGTCTTCATTTCTCCTCATTTTCTCTTGACGTTAGTGTAAAGAGACGTGTGGAAATCGCACTCGCCGTGCTGTGATAAACTAAAAGACTTCACCTTTGACCTATAGTCCACTGCCGCTGGTACAGAGTAGGCCTGAGTCTTATAGCAAAGAAGCTATTCAGGCTTTACTGCACTGACACACACACACTACACCGGCGTGCCAACTGGCTAGGGCAACACCTCAGCACATGTAGTTACAAAAATACACATACATATATATCCACGGGCTGAAAAGCTCGTGCTGGCATCCTGAGGCACTCTCTGCAAGGAAAACTGGTTTTTTGTAAGCGGCTGCACAAGGAGCATGTTGTTTAGCAATAGCTTCACTCTGTCTCACTCTCAGATCTCAGGATGTCTTCAGTTAGGTCAGAGGAGCCAAAATAGGCCATGTTCCTTTGGATATATGGAGGACAAAAGCATGATTGTGTCTTAGGCACTGAGAGTTCCCACAGTGAGACAACGTGAGCGTAGGTGGGGTCCCGGGAGAAGAGTTAAAGCTCAGTAACTGTTGAGTTTGGCCCATGATACAAACTGAGCTTTTGTCACAGTTGTTATGAGTTATTATTTCCTTTCAAAGACATGTGAACAGTGCAGCTTTTCATTGTTTTTGGACAATGTCTTTGATTTATTGTCCCTCCAGCTAATGCTCTAAACCTCACGTGTAAATAGATGTGGAGTTAATCAGCTGTGACGTTGGTGGGCACCACTGGGTGCTAAAACTGAACAGCTCAGGTGTTTCTCCAGGAAGCAGCCACAGGAGTGAAGAATAACCTGCACGTGGCAGAATGACTAGTGATCTGTTTGTGTAGCCGTCTTCAACCGTCAAACGAACCACCAATCCTTCACAGTCACATGCTTGTGGTCACTGCATCGCTGCACAGCTCAGCAGTATTGGTGTGCACTTTTGTGTCGTTTTGAACCTCTCACCTCTTTTTTTGGACATTTTTAAAGACCCATTAGAACCTCTGTTTCTTCCTCCCCAGCTCGCTCTGCGTCTCACTACGTGGCGACCTCCGGCTCCTGCAGAAACAGGTGTTTCGAGCTGGTTGAGTTGGAGCCGCCAAACTGTCGCTGCGACAACCTGTGTAAAACCTACAATGGCTGCTGCTCAGACTTTGACCAGCTCTGCCTACGCACAGGTATGCTTATAAAACTTGACTTTGACACCACTAACAATGTGTTGGTCCTAATTTGTGTTGTCTTGTAATAAAAAACTAATATGTGAGGTAATTATCTCTGATACCTGAGAGTTGTTCCTCCAAGTCTTGGCAATGAAGGGCTAAAAAACATTAAAGTGACGCTGTTCAGCTGAGAGATATTTGCCGGGCTGTCTTTCCCTTGAGCTTGCACCTACGCCTGCAGGTCAGGGTGGAGAGGCCAAACCAAACAGTCACTTATTAAGCTGGAGGAAATGCTCAGAGACCTACTTTTAACATCCATCAGGTGGTCGAGAATTTTGTTCCAACATGTACCACGATGTCCTTCTTGTGTTTCGGAGACTCTGGCGTTTCTCTTTGTGTGTAGATAGGTGAGGCTGTGCTCGCTTTGCAGTCTGCAGGACCTACAGAGCGGCTGGATTGACCGGCAGTTTCAGAGTAATGTGGCTGACCTGCACGCGTCTGAACTCCTTTCAGATTTGGCTCAAACTGAATTTTAGGTTTTGATATTTTACCTAAACATATGAACATGAGACTGTACACATGCATCATCTATGTGACAAAAAGCAGTGACCATCCTGTGTAGCTGCCTGATGGGCAATATTGGGAATATTACTCAAAAAACGTAATAGATTACAGTGTTTCCTCGGAGGGGGCTCTCTGCACCGGGGCTGTGATCGACCGTGGCTGCTGGGGCTCTGGGGGTCCTCTCACCTGGCTGGGGGGCTCCTTTGCCTCCCTCCTGCTGTGTGCCCGGCCTGGAGGCTGCGGTCTGTGACCGGCTCCCGGTGCAGACGGCTCCCTGTGATAGTGTTTCCTCACTGGGCTCATGTGAACCCAGCCCAATTTTTACTCTTTAAGTGTGTGTGTGGGGAGGGGGGGGGGTATGTATCCATGATCGTTTATGTTAATGAGAGTGTGGGGAGTGAGTTGGAGGGTGAGGTGGGCTGCTTTTAACCATGTAAAGCACTTTGTGCTACATTTTTGTATGAAAAGTGCTTTATAAATAAAGATTGATTGACTAATCATCTGGTTAGTAGGTGACCTGCTCCACCTGACCTGACCTGCAGCCACCCCACAGTTCCCTGATATGGTCACCTCAGGCAGACAGCTGGTTCACACCCCTGCACCATTTAAACCTTTGGTTTGTGAGAAGCAGCCAGTCAGAGGACACCTGGCTTCAAGGGGCAGCTGCTAAAGCATCTTACAGTGGACGGTGCACCGACACCCAGTGTGTGATAAAAAAGGACCAGTTTGAAATTTGAATCACACGAAACGATCTGTTTAAACCAGATCAAAATACACAACAGCCCCCCTTCAAACCACCCATCAGACACATACATGCTACACATGTCAGGTTCCAGCTGACGGCAGCCAGCTACTAAAGTCTGCACAAAGATGTATCTGATAAAGTACATTTAGCTGATTTTAATCTCTGTGGAATTACACACTTCTTGCAAAGTGAGCCAGATCCTGATTACTTTGGCATCTTACTGTATGTTATTCCTACAGTGAAGGTTTCTCTAACCTGCAGACATTTGTTGAACAGTAATGAGTTTGAATTGTTTTCATGTGGATGCCGCCTGCTATAATCAAGCTTACAAATACCCACTTGATATATTTTTGTGAGGCTGACTGTGCAGCTCAGTTGTCTGAGCTGGAAATGAGTCGTAGACTTAACGACAGGTCTCTCACTTTTTGATTGAGCGGTTTGTTGCCGCCCCCTCTGCCTTTGCAGTGCTCCCTCTCTCTGTCAACATTTTCCCTCTGCTGCTGGTGGTCTGATTTTATGTCCACTCCTTCAGGCTGGTGGTCTTTGGCTCACCACCGCCTCGCCACCAGTAACCTCCCATTGCCTGAAAGCAATAATTTACTTGTTTTTCTGGTCGCCTGCGTCTTTTTCCTGACTCTGTCAAATCCTTCTTTGGAAGTTTTTCAGCTTGAGGACTGTTCAAACACGGACCCCATCACCATTGTTGCTCACATGCTGCTTCCCACTCAGTCTGCAGCCAAACCGCTGTCACATTAATATCTCAGCTTTCATTTTTCACTGGTTTCACCACTAACCTTCCAGCTAAGCTGTGCACGTAGAAAGCTTTGGCGTTTTAAACCTCAGTGATTCATGTTGAACATAACTGCTATGTTCTTCTTGCACACAGAGGGCGGTTATGAGTGCAGCAGAGATCGGTGCGGGGAGACACGCAATGAACAGCATGCCTGCCACTGCTCTGATGACTGTCTGGCCAGAGGAGACTGTTGTACCAACTACAAGAAGCTGTGCAAAGGTTTGCAACTTTACCTGACCTCCTGGCTTCAAATGTTCAGAGGATTTTGTCCATTATTAATTAGTCCGACCATGCGTTGTAATGAGGACGTCTCATTTTATTACAAAAGTGCATGTGTATGTGTTACATGTGTAAAGAAATATGAACATAGTATCAGTGTTGTGGATCTGGAAAGCTTTTCAAAGACTGGAATTTAGAAAATACTACATTTGAATTTATTGACACCATGTTTTTATATTGGTGTTGGCCAAAAAAAGCAGGTCATTTATGGTCACAATTACTGGCTTTAAAATCCATACTGGGGCGATTTAACTGGGGCCAGATGCATCTCTCAGGCCCTGTTTCTTTGCTGGGTTTAATTCTGTTTCTTAAGGACATGATGTTGAGAAACTCTTCATCTGCCTCTGTGTCAGTCGCACACCGTGCTGAGATATGCCACGTTTTCACCTTGTTGGTGCAAAAGTACCTTTTTATGCCTGTCAGACTGTGTTATCATAGATCCAACTAAAGAAATGGGAATAAACGGATATCCAAATAACCGCTAACAACAAGATACGATTTAAAACGGGTTCTTTGCCAAGCTGTCTGAGTAGACACAACAGTGCTTGAGTTTGGTGCCTTTTTATGTTTGAATGAGTCGTAATCAGTGTTGAGTGCTTCAACAAACAAGGAAGTCTGTGTTTTGTAAAGCAAATTTTAAGAAATGAGGAATGACTCATGAGTAAATGGCCTGCATTTGTATAGCGCTTTACTCAGTCCCTAAGGACCCCAAAGCGCTTTACACTACATTCAGTCATTCACACACTGGTGATGGCAGCTACATTGTAGCCACAGCTGCCCTGGGGCGCACTGACATGAGTACTGTGCAAAAGATGAAAGTAGCCCCTGTGGTGTCACCCACTGGTCTGTGGCCTATATTTAGCTTAATGGATGCCAGAAGTGACAAAGTTGGAGCGCTAACTTTGTAAGTCAACTAAAGCTGCATCCCTAAACTGTAAGTGCTCCACACACAAAACCACACACTGTAGCTGCAGGTATTGGTCACCAGATCTCAACCGCCAACCGATCTAGATACAGTGACTCATAGTTATTTATTAGCATAATTATTATGCAAATAATTCCATTAGGCACCCGTACCTCACTGCACTGTTAAGCATTTAGCTGATTTTATGCTCCAACAGTCACTGAGGACAGAAATGTGGAATTTTTCTGTGTATTCCTTTCCTGCTGATTTGGGTAGAAGAAGATGTTGGATTGCAGTGGTTATCCAGCTGTGTATGTATCAGGCTCTCACTCATACATACACAGTGAGAGCTGAGAGTTTACAATAGGTAATACTTTGAACAGTCCATTGAAGGTACGTTGAAGGTGTTAATCCCTCCACGTATACATGATTGATCGTTGTATGAAATAACCAGTCGACAACCATCTGAAAAATGAGTATTCTCTCACTGTTTGATAAGGGATTCCTGGAGGTTGTTCGCTGTCACCAGGTGAAATCAGTTACACCAAAAACCTCTTGGTGACTGCTTTGGTCACTCATGGATAAATAGATAAGACACTTGCTAACTATGAGCTGAGCTGTAGTTAGTCAAGCAAAACCTGAAAAAGTGCAATGCAAATCAGAAACAGGGAGCGTTAGCCTTCAACGTTACATCGCAGCACTGCTGTGAACACATTTCAAAAGGCACAACTTTTACTTTAAAGTCAGTTACTGACTGTCATCCACTCGTTGCTGTCGTCCCAGCCTGAAGCCTGAGCAAAACATTAGCCGACACCATCGTGGTTTTAAAAAAACCAAAACCAAGGTGCAGTCAAACTGTGAAGCTGCTCACTCACTGACTCAACTCCAAAGAAAGCCATGGACTTCCTGTAGACTTCTGTATGACCATATGTGCAACCACGGGAGCGCCCCCTGCTGCTGATTAAAAGAATTTAGTTTAAAGCACTTCTGTAACTTTTAAAACCACGTTAACTGTGTGAAGCAGGCAGGATGGACCGAAATGCAGCCGCGCAGACACACAAAACGAAACTTAATACACAGAGAAACACACGGCCATGAGGGAGATGGCGACGCGGGACCGAGGGAGACCCAGGTTGTGTCCCAATTCAGGGTCTGCAGCCTTAAAGGCCGCATTTTAAGGCCGATTACGTCACAGCGGCGTGCCGAAGGCTGTCCCAATTCGAAGGCTGCTCGAATTGCAGCCGTCAAATGCGTCCTTCATTTCCCTGAATTTTAAGGACGTGGCGGTGTAGACTTCGTGGCCCAACATATCCCAGAATGCATAGCGCGGCGGTGGGTGTGGATAATTTTGCCAACAAAAAACGGCGGATGAGGGGCGCCCGAAGAGTGAACTTTAAGTAAGTACTGACTATTATGTCACTTATTTATGTGCAAATGTTTAATAACGAAGACCATTAAACATTACTGTTGGCCACATGTCGGCAAAGTTTTTTTTTTTAATGTAAATGTTTATTATTATTATTTTAGCCACACTTTAAATTTATAAAAGGAGCCCCCACCCCCGCAATAGAAAAATAAAGTTACAATTTTTACACATAAACAAACCGATCTAAGCATACATTTCAAACATTTCTATATTCTCAAAGTAAACAATAAATATATGTAATATTTAGTATTATTGGATGGTTACTTGGTTATTTAAACCACTATAGTTATATACGGAGCCCCGCGGGGGACCGTGTCGGCAAAGTCATGTGACATTAGGGACGTTTGTACTAACTTGGTTTTAAAGCCTTTACTTTAAAATATACGCCGTCCAATAGCTGAGCTTAATCTTACAGAGAATGATCAAAGCTCATGTAGAAACAAACAAATGAACAAAAGATGTTCTCCTTCATTTCTGTCAAACACAGCTGTATGAAACGTTTCCAGCTGTTAGTATCATGGTTGCTCGCCAACCTGGGCAGCGCGACGGAGGCTAGACCATCCCATTTCACAAGCCTCGCACTTCCGGCCTCAGCGGTCTTTGGGTACGCGGCCCTTGAGGACCTTTAAGGCTGCAGACCCTGAATTGGGACGCAGCCACAGAAGGGCAAACACGGGAACAAACCACAGGGGGGACACAGCTGAACATGATCTAACTAACGAGACGGGGGCAAACAAAACTGAACCAGACAGGAAACTATCAAAGTAAAACAGGAAGTACTAAGACTCCGAATAATTCACACAACATGACGCAGGAGGAAAAGAACGCTCAGGGAAACGAGATGGACCAGGGAGATAAGGGGAGGAGACAACGAGGGGGGGGATGCAGAAATAGTTCAGGGAACCGACAGGGCGAGAGAGGGTGAGAGGCATGATGGGCTGGATAAACACACACACACACACACACACACACACACACACACACACACACACACACACACACACACACATACACACACAGAGGGACGCAGTGGACAGAGACACAAGGGAAACCTAATGGACAAGGACCTAAACAGAGAATATAAAAAACTCAAAACAGACTAAACTAATGAAGCAGAAACATTAACCTTAATACAAAATGACACCAAAACACAAGAAAATCAAAATGACTCAGAATGACAAACTGTGCTATGATACTGATGCTACTGTAAAGGTAAGTTACTCCAGCACTTCACAAATGCTTGCTCTGCCATCTTTTCCCCAGCTGTCCATGACCACAACAGAATATAATCAAGGATACCAGCACATCAGCGAGTTCCTTTATCCTTGAGTTCACTGTTACCGAACAGTTATACCTGGTAGTTACTGGGTAACTAATTTATTTGTGTTTGTTTCTGTGGTTCAGCCTGTTTAAATTTAATGAAGCTAAAGTGCATGAAATTTTAAAAAGTGTAAATAATACTGCATTTAAAATTCTAGGTCCAGTGTTATCAGCTAAATTTATTTTGGATCAAAAGGACTTTGTTAGAGAAAGACTTGAGATTGGTGCTTTGTACATTAATCTCTTTTTCCTTTCAGGGGTCAGCTGATAAATTCATCTATTTAAGATTGTCAATGTCTTTAGATTTACTGGAGGAGAAAAAAATAGTATACAGAGGAAATACTCAAGTAGAAGTACGTTCAAGAATCATGCAGTTTGTGAGAAAATATGACAACCAACCACTGGTTCCCACTTTTCCATACAAGCATAACAAAAGCTCATGTTAATCTCTCATCACGTTCCCTCAGGAGACACCTCGTGGCTGCAGGACGATTGTGAGGAGATCAAGGCTCCTGAATGTCCTGCCGGGTATGTTGAAATCTTAGCAGTAAAGCAACAGGAGGGTAGCGGGTTGAACTTGGTTGAGCAAGTCTGATTTCATGCATTTAAAAAACTTCTTCCATGCACATGCAGGTTTGTGCGTCCGCCGCTCATCATCCTGTCCATGGATGGATTTAGAGCTTCGTATGTGAAGAGAGGGAACACTGTCATCCCTCACATTGAGAAGCTCAGTAAGTTCTGTAAAACATGAGCTTTCGGTTCTGAAACGAGGAGTGAAGAGTTCCCTGTTAGGAAGTGAACGTGACACTGATGAAGCCACGAGCTCTGGCAGGCTG